TCCTGTTGGAATAAACTACTTTTGCGGAAAGTAAGCGGTTTTGTGGGTAGGTTTTGGTGAAACTTACACACCAATGTAAGTTAGCGAGTTTGTATAGAAGTGTTTTTTTTTTCCAGAGATTTTTTTTTGGAGCGGTAGTTATAACGGTTGCCTTAACGGTATCTGGTGTACCTAGAGTGCCACGTGCTTATCCCGGCCCAGGAATTCTATTACCCTCCTGTGGTATACAGTGGAAAATTACCACACCAAAAACCAACTGTTGCCGTCATTATTTTTTTTCCTTTTGGCATTGGTATAACCACACCGAAGGCGACATTAAAATTTCTTTGGACAATTTTTTTTGAACGCCACACACAATTTTTGGGACTTCATCATATACGAAGCCATCGTCAGAACCACCATCGGCATCAACGAATACCTTCCATCAGACAAGTCACTCTTACAGTAAAGGTTTGGTATCGATTCCCCAACTGTAAGTACACACCTGGAAAAGTGACAGTTTGCGTCAACTTATATTTTTTGTCCTCGTTTGGTACCCTATCCGACCAGTCACAGACCGGGAGGTTAGGGGCCACATTTTTTTTTTATTTGTTACTCGACGGTCAGCCGAGTTTTGGAACAAAACCATCATAAATTTAAATGATCAAATACACTCCTAAAATACTAAATTGTTTAGACTTGAAAATAACATTTATAAAAGTGAGAATTCCCGCCATTTTGTACACGAAATTCCACCGTTTTCTTTGTCTTCTCCAAATTCATTAGAATTACATCAAAATTAAATCTGTCAAATCAAGTTAATGTCAAAATTGAATACTCTTTCGTGTTATAAAGCAAATTTAGTTGTAATTGCATACTTATATTCCTATATATATATTAGATATATCTATTTTATAAATTATATATATACCCTCGTATAGTATCGTACCTAATATACATACATATATATAGTATATATATTAATATATATACACACATAAAAAAAATATATAATATATAATAGTATATAATACAAAAAAAAAAATAAATATAATTATATAATGATATATAATAAACATTGTATATATGTACAGTTATTATAGGTGTATGTATATATGAGCATACATTTGTAATATACATGCATACACTCATACATATATAAACGTACATACATATTCAATTTGAATGATTGAATTTATATAATTTGTGAACATTTTGAATTTAAATATTAAATATTAACCCCTATATATATTTATATAGTTATTATTCTGGATTTAAATTTTTATAAAAATATTTTCTTCGAAATTATAATTTTGTCAAATGTTTATCCCTATTCGTATACAATTTTATTTGAACAATTTAAGGATAAATAATTACACCATTGAGCTCGATAGGTTATAAATATATCCTTTATAAATATATATATATATATATATATCCTCTAGTATACAATATAGTGCACAGTGGTACTTGAATTGGGATGAACATACCAATGTAATTCAAATTTGTATGTACTTCCATTATTGACATTGTCGATTGACACCCAAGTAAATAGATTTCAGATTAATTTTTTTATTATCATTATGTAGTATATAATATTATGTATTATTATACGATCTAATGTTATTATATCAAAGAAAATAAATATGAAAAGAATTTATGAATTAAAAAATATGAAAATAATTAAACATAACAATATGTTTTAATCAACTATATAAGGGGATAATGTAAACTAAGGTGAAGTCGATATAGGTATTGGGGGCATCTCACCATGGTGGGAGCCCAAAAAGGGGATTCATACAGGAATCCATAGGGTGGGCGATAAAGGTATCCAATGACATCTGGATACCAGAAAACAACGCTGTCTGGAAAATAACGCAACAACAATTTATATCTTTTTTTTTTTTGAATTTTATTTTACATTAATAACTCAATTTCTTGTTGTCTCTGTTATGCACACCGCTGAGAGTGCCGACTGAGAAGAGCCGGAGCAAACCTAAATAAATCGATACCACCGTCATCTAGGTATTGTTAAAAGATATCGACCTCTCGTTTTAAGAGCATGCAATAACAGTTGATCTTACAACAATCGTTTTAGTTGAATTAATCATTATACTTCCGGTATAAAACGCGATATTGGAACGGATGATCTGTGGCACATCGACACGAACAACTTCCTGCCACTTCGTGGTTATTAGGCCGTTTCACAAATCTCGAAATACGACCTGTGGTTAAGTTGTTCCCTCTAAACATTAAAATCTTCTCTCTTTCTCGTAGATAAGGAAATATAAGTAAGATTTTTAAGATTCCTTACTGAGGATGACGTCCGCAAGTCTAGGAATGAAACAATTTAAAATTATGATGCTCATGGTTTCTCTGGCCTATGCCTACAACTAATTAAGCTGCTGCATATCTACTACCTTCGATTTTCGATACTATCTATAGCTTTGTCAGCGTTAACGGTGATGCTCATAGAGTGAATCGGCTGAATCCTTGCACCTTAAAAGATTAACGTTGATGCTCATTGAGTGGATCAGCATGAATTCTTGCACCTTAAAACGTTGTCGGTGATGCTCATAGAGCGGATCACATTAGATCCTTGCACCTTACAATACTATAGATATATCGAAAATGGATTCCAATCGGCAGTCAACCGAAAACTACTAATTTTATGCTGCCTTCGAGGTCAATCTTCTATTGTCCTCGCTGCTCTACGAGCGCTAATTTGCACATCATAAATATATTTGAAAAAAATGAAAAGAAAAAAGTTATTAAAATGTCCACTACTGACGGTAACGCCTTTTTATTTCAATATTTTATTGAGATCAATATATTTCTTTTATCTTTGCAACATAGCGGGATGTTGCAACGGCGGCGGCAATGTTTAATTAAGAATAATATTCAGATTTCTATTTATTTGTCTTACTACCTTAAATTGCAACTTTGCGCATTCGGGGCAAAGTATTGCTGTCAAAGTCAAATCACTGACGTTTGGTTTACGCGCCCGCCTTTGCATCAGTCTGTCTAGAAAAAGTCTCAAACTACGCTTGATGGATTTCGTCCACTAAGCTTGCACAGAGCATACCAACACAAATTATAATAAAAAGGTAATATTGTTTACGACAATAAAACGCCAATATTCTATTGGACAAATTCTAATATAATTGTGTTTTCTTTTATTTGGGTATTTATTTTCATATTCCCCACTTAAACACATGTCATCAGAATTTTCTTTTTCAAATAGCTTGTTTCTCCTTTTACATCGAAATCTCAACTTATTTGAGTGTATTATTAACCCTACGGTCAATAACCAAAAAAGTATACGTAGATCAATAACCGTGGTACATTTGTACCCATCCAAAGATAGCTCTGTAACTCATTAAAAAATTGGACTATCGTGAGGTTTTTTATTTTAAATTAGTCTATACGGATCTGGCCTAGATGTAGGAACTCAAAATTATATATACATTAAAATAATATATATTTAAATCCAGGCTTAAATGATAATCTATCTAAAACAATCATAGTAAATTCGTCATAGCTTTCGAATGGGTTAAGCTTTTTTAGTTATTTTTTTTTATTGGGATCTTATTTAGGTGTTCATCAACCTTGTCCCTGTTTTTGTCCCTGTATGCCAAGGGAAAACCAGGGTAGTTTCTGACTTCCACGAGTCACCCTGATGACCCCATGTTGTCTAGGGCCACCAAAATTTGCAGAGGGGTTGATGAACACCTAAATAAGATCCCAATAAAAAATAACTAAAAAAGCTTAACCCATTCGAAAGCTATGACGAATTTACTATGATTGTTTTAGATAGATTATCATTTAAGCATGGATTTAAATATATATTATTTTAATGTATATATAATTTTGAGTTCCTACATCTAGACCAGATCCGTATAGACTAATTTAAAACAAAAAACCTCACGATAGTCCAATTTTTTAATGAGTTACAGAGCTATCTTTGGATGGGTACAAATGTACCACGGTTATTGATCTACGTAGGTAATAACTTTAAAAAATTGTAAAAATTATATATATGGAAAATATTTATAATTTTTTTTTTCGATTATGTGTTAAAATACCTCAAGAATGATTCCACAAAATTTGATCCAAATATCTCCATTATTAAAAATTTAACAGCAATTTTATTCAAAAAAAGGTACAAATGTACCCGGTTATTGGCCGTAGGGTTAATTATTCTCTTTATCCTGAATATTGTAAGAACCCATAGCTATTTACTTTTTCATTCATGTTTTCCATTTTTTCTGAAAATGTTTTTTTTTTATTTTTATATTTTCATTTTTCTATTTTCTTAATTCAAATGTCTCATATAAAAAATTGTAGAATCTTTTGTTTAAGTTTCCCCACAATTGTTTCTTGTTTTGTACGCTACATTATGTAGATTAAAAAATTTACATTCTGCTGCATATATAAAAACTATACAATTTTTTACTTTTCATTCATCATTTTCAATTTTACTGAAAAAAATTGAAAATTTTATAAATATTTTCATGCTGTCAAAATTAATTTATTTTCGATAAAAACTCTCAATTGTTAGGGAAGGGACAAATTTCTTGGTTATTCAGAGAGTGATTCGAATTAAACAATGTACAAAAGTCGGTGTTCGCTCAGACAATTTTGTATGGGGAACTAAGTAATAACTTCATAATTAAGGGTCGAACAACGAATGAGAGAGCGAACAACGCTCGTCTGTAAATGGCATAAATTCATCCGTATGCGTACGATTTTATTCACTTCAAAAGTTAAATTCGTATAAAATAAATAATAGAATTATAAATTTATTTGGGCGAACAATTGTTTGTGTTTAAAATTTTATCTAGTAATATTTCTCATAGTTGGCAACATTGCTTGTCAAATCCAAGTAGCAATTATTTACTTTGACAGTTAATCGTATAGTCAGCTGTGCTAAAGTGAATACCTTTTTTATTGTGTTTCTATATGGTAGCTAGAGAAGGCCACTGTTTTTGCGAATTTTTGTAAACTTTCCAGACTTCAAAATGGATGAAGTTGACAAAATTATTATACATTCATTAAAACAAATTGGATGCAAACTAGAAACTGATGATAGTGACGTTTTCGGCTTGAACCATTTTACACCAGACCTACTTGTGCGGTCAGTATCAAGATGTTTACAGGAAATTAAGCCGGATGTAGTTCTACCCAAATCATTGCCTGAAAATATGAATATGGCTCAAAGATTTACCATTGCATCTACGCTGGCGGAGACGTGTATTGCATGTGGATATCGCGGTGACATTGGATATCAGACGTTTCTCTATCCGAATGTTGTAGATACCAGACGGCTGTTTATGTTCCTAATCGAACAATTACCAAAACTAAATGATTCATTGGATGCAATAGAGGGTGGATCAGAACGAAATGAATACAAAATATTATTGAAGGAAATTAAAACGAATATATCTAGGGAATTAAAAGCACCATGGGTTCCGCAGTATTGTCGTGGTTTAGCGAATAGAAAATCCGATGGGAATAGTAGTCTTACAGTCGACTTTTTACCCCACTTAAATTTACACATTCCACAAGTGGAGGGCGATTTGCAGTCCAAGGAATTTTATCAAGCTCCAAATATATTTCAACAGACCACAGCAGCTGATTGTGATCTGGTAAGTTCGGTTTTACATAAATGTGCCATCGATTTATATAGCCCAGCACAAAGTCTACATGGTGTACGTATAACTGATATTAATAAACCGGATGCAATAATACCTTCATTGCAAGCCATTGATGTTAGCAGAACGGAAAACGTGGAAGAAGCTGATCGCAAAACAGAATCAATACCGGCCACTCCTCTCCAGAATCTTATTAAAAATGTTGAAGAGTTAAAACAAACTAATGAATCGTGTGTGCGGGAACTTCAAGCCTGCAATGAAAAACTCAACAATTTACGCCTAGAACGAACAAGCGTTGTAGCAGAAATGGAAAACTTGCGAAAAGATCAAAAATTACATGAACGAACATGCGTTATATTGGAAAATCCCAATGAAAATATTACTAAACTAGAGGTGCTGATAGAGAAAACACGGGAAAGGCGCCTTACCGTAGAAAATCAATGGCAGGCACATCGAGTACCAGCCCTCAAACAAATTGACGAATTGCAAAAGCTGAGACATTCGAAAAACTTACAAAACATCCAAGAGCTGCGACAAGCTATACAGGAGTATGAAACGAGTTTAAAGGATAAAACCAACATTCACATGCAACTAGCAGAGGAATTAAAGAAACGAGCCGTGGGAATTGCACCACGTAAAGAGTACACGCGACGAATTTATGCCGCCGCCACTGTTTATTTACTCTTTTTTGTTATTTATTTACTTCAACAAATTTGAGTTATTCCTCTTTTATGTAGTCAATACACTTTTGCATTGATCTCTATTTATCTTCTCGTTGCCCTTTATTTATGTGGCCCTTTGCTATGTGTACACATACATGCACAAAGTTATTAGTATGTTGTTATTGTTTAATAACGGCAATGTCTAGTGGACGAAAACAAGTAGCTTCAAAGGGCAACGAAGATATAACAATAATTAGTTCGAATTTGAATACGCAGCGAGCAAATTGTTTTTAAAGCGCCATAAACTTTTGTTATTAATAAACATTTTATGTGAATAATTATTTTCAAAGTGTTTTACTTTAAAGTGGGCGACTATGAAAGTTGTTCTGCGTACCGAACTCAACATTCTTTAAAAACAATTTGACTCTTTAAAAAACTATTTAACAAGAGTTCATCAGAGCAAAATCAAAATAATTCCCGCGAGTGCTGTAAATTATTACCGTGGTTTCAGTAATAAATTTATTATTTCAAAGAGAGTGTACCAGTGTTTGTGGCTCATAATAGAAAATTTGAAAGCTGTGAAAAATCAAAAAAAACCGCTGATAAAGCATCGCATTTAAAATAAAGGAATTATTTTCGGGAAAATAAAGAAATTATTTTCTAATTAAATATTATTTTTAATCGTGTTTCAATAATTTGACGACATGTCAGAAACCGATTATAATTGCAACAAATGTGAATCAAAAGACACCGAGCGTATGGTGCAATGCGATTCTTGTGACAAGTGGTTCCATTTCGAGTGTGTTAAAGTAGACAGCAATATTGCAAATGTAAGCTGGAGTTGTTCGTGCTGTGGTGACCAATCTGTAGCCCAAGGTAACGAGTGTGAAGAAATGCATATTCCAGCAGTAAATAATACCGCTGATTTCTCCGCCGGGAGGCAGGCTTCATCGTCACCAGCCAATATAGCGCAACCTGGTACATCGCAAAAACAACAACAAAAAGAAATGGATCCCGTTTTTGAAAAAGGTGCATATAAAAAGGCACTTAACCAAAGTACAAGTAAACATGGCTCCAATACTGTGTCATCAATACCAACAGCAATGTCTCAAACGACAGCTATGTCACTGACGAAAACGACGTCGACATATTCAAACAGCGTAACTAAAAATTTTCATCAAGATCGCCATTTTGAGAATTCCGGCCATTCGGATGTGATTCGATGCAACATGTCTCAGACTCAGTTGCAGCTGCAGATGTTGGAAGAGGAAAAAGAGTTACAAAGGCAATATTTGGAGAAGAAATATAAAATTCTGTCCCAAGGCAACGCAAGCCAGCCATCGTGTTCCTTTTCTCAAACGTTTACAACATTTCAACCAACAGCAGCTCAAATTGCAGCAAGGCAAGTGATACCAAAGGATTTGCCGAATTTTGATGGAAACCCAGAGGATTGGCCGTTGTTCATCAGCAACTTCAAAAATAGTACTGAGATTGCAGGCTACACTGATGGTGAAAATTTAATGCGTTTGCAGTCGTGTCTCCGTGGTCGTGCTAAAGAGTTGGTGAAAAGCAAATTATTGATTCCTTCTATGGTGGGTGAAATTATCCAGACTTTGGAAATGTGTTTTGGTCGTCCGGAGCATATTTTAGATGGCATGATCGACAAGGCCATGAGGATTCCACCATTGAAGGACAGACTTGATAGCATAATCGAATATGCTTTAACAATTAAAAATATTTGCTCTACAATGGAAGCGTGTGATATGAAGGCTCATTTAAATAATCCGATGTTAGTTAAAACATTAGTGGAGAAATTGCCGAATAATCATAAATTAAGTTGGGCTATGCATCAAAAAGATTCTAATGTTCCTATAGTGAAAGTGTTCAGTGATTGGATTTACAGCATAGCCGCTGCTGCCAGCCAAGTCGTGTCTCCAATAACGAGCAAGAAAGGAGCATCGGTGAATGCACATCAGCATAGTGACCCAAGGAAACCAACTTGTTTTTCGTGCAAAAGCGAAGTTCATAAAATCCAGAGTTGTGGCGAGTTTCAATCACTAAACTTGGAAGCAAAATGGAAAATAGTAAAAGAAAATAAATTGTGTCGCCAGTGCCTAAATTCACATCGCAGAAAATGTTTTTCCAATAAAGTTTGTGAAATCGGTGGTTGTAAAGCAAAGCATCATCCATTGTTGCATAACTATCAGTCCTCATTAAATGCGAGTTCAAATAATTTCGTGCCAACTGAACAAAGCCGAAGTGTAAATTCTCATCGTGACAGTGATAAAGAGAAGACATGTTTTAGAATTTTGCCGATTCGAGTTTTTTATGATGGTGGCTCAGTGACAACGTTTGCGTTTTTGGATGAAGGTTCTTCTGTGACTCTTATGGAAAACGAATTCTTTGATAAACTTGGAATTAAGGGCAAGAAGGAACCTCTGGAATTACGTTGGACAGGCAACACAACTCGTTCTGAAGATGATTCGGTCAAAATAAATATTGAAGTGTCTGGTGTAAAAAGTGATTCTCGTTTTGTGCTGCATGATGTTAGAACAGTGAAGAACCTTGAATTGCCCAAGCAAACATTAAATTTTGAAGAAGTGGTGAAATATAATCCGCATTTAAAAGGATTGCCGGTCGATTCATACGTCAACGCCAAGCCGACGATTTTAATTGGCATTAATAATTGGCGAGTAGCAGTCCCAATGAAAATTCGTGAAGGTGGTTATAACCAGTTTATTGCAACGAAGACTCGACTTGGATGGACTCTTCAAGGTAGTGGCACGGATGTTGGTAAAATAGCTTCGCTGAATATACACACCTGTGAATGTGAACGTCGTTACCAAATCTTGCATGATGAAGTTAAAGAATATTTTTCCTTGGATGTGTCTCAACCGAAAAATATATTGTCAATCGAGAATCAAAAAGCCATGCATATTTTGGAGAATAACTGTGTAAAGAGAGATCGACGATTTGAAGTGAATCTACTTTGGAAAGATAGTGATCCTCAATTACCTGACAGCTATAATGTCGCAGTTCATCGATTAAAGTGTCTCATGAGGAAGTTTAAGAAAAATCCTGAATTAAAGCAGACTATGCAGACGGAAATCGACAAGCTTCTCTCAAAAGGATACGCAAGAAAGGTTTTTGACTCCGAAATTAATAATTATCCTGGTCGCACTTGGTATCTTCCTATTTTTGTGGCTCTTAACCCAAATAAGCCTGGTAAAGTTCGTCTGGTCTGGGATGCAGCAGCCAAATCCAATAATAAGTCACTAAACGATTACTTGATAAGTGGTCCAGATTTGCTTACGTCTCTATTTAATGTGTTAATCGAATTCCGAGTTGGCCAAATTGCCGTCTGTGGTGACATTGCAGAGATGTTTCATAGGATCAACGTCAAAGATGAAGACATGCACGCTCAACGATTTTTGTGGTTCGAAGATGGTGACGTGAACAAAATCAGTGTTTATGTGATGAAAGCGTTAACCTTTGGAATTAGCTGTGCCCCATGTATTGCTCATTTTGTGCGCAACAAGAACGCGGACGACTTTCGGGAAAATTATCCCAGAGCAGTTAAGGCAGTTGAGTCGTATCACTACATGGATGATTTTATCGACAGTGTACAAAGTGAAGGAGAAGCCCTAGAGTTAGCATTGCAAGTTAAAATGATACATGCTGCCGGTGGCTTCCACATGAGGAATTGGGTGTCAAATTCAAAATTGGTACAAGAAAAATTAGGCGATGGAGAGCAGACGAAGAATACGTTTGGAGCTATTGAAAAAATTCTTGGTATGTATTGGGAATCCAATAATGATGTGTTTCAGTATAATTGCAGATTTTCACGGCTCTCGAGAAACGTATTCGAGTCGAATGTGGTCCCTACCAAGAGGGAGGTTCTCCAAGTTCTGATGTCCATATTCGATCCGCTTGGGTTCATCTCCCATTACACAATTGGATTGAAAATACTACTACAACAAATTTGGCGGTCAGCAATTAGATGGGACGATGAATTAAACGACGAACTATATAGCAAGTGGTCCTCATGGTTGTCCAATTTGGAGAAAATATCAAAAGTACAAGTTCCGAGATGTTACTCCAAGCTGTTGAAGTTCACTCAAGACGTCCAAATTCATACTTTTGTTGATGCTGGGGAAGACGGATATGCAGCAGTGTGCTACTTTCGCATACGATATCTCGAAGAGGTCAATATCGGTCTAGTAGCAGCAAAATCCAAAGTGGCTCCTCTCAAGCCAATTTCGATTCCGAGATTGGAACTTCAAGCGGCCGTAACCGGAGTGCGACTGGCAGACAAAATAGTCAAAGCAACGAGACTTCAATGCACACAAATATTTTTCTGGTCGGACTCAAAAACTGTACTGAGCTGGTTGTCCATGGATCCGAAAAATTTTAAGCCATTCGTCATGTACAGAGTTGGAGAAATTCTAGAGTCTACAAATATTACCCAATGGAATTGGGTGCCCTCGAGATTGAATCCAGCCGATTTTGCGACAAAAAATGGGTCCTGTAATGACGATATGTGGTTCAGTGGTCCAAAATTCCTTGAAGAAGATGACAGTTTTTGGCCGAAAAATCCCGTATTGACGCAAACCAAGGAAGATGTACGTAATTGTCTACTACATATTTCGAAATCACATACGTTCACCATAAATGTTGAGTATTTTTCATGCTGGAGACGACTTTACAAAGCACTGTCGCTATTTCTACATTATATGGAGAAGTTAAAGTCCGTGGTCCGTAGCAGCAAATTACCAGAAAATATTACATTCGAATGTGTCCAGCAAGCCAAACATATTTTGTACAAATTTGCCCAAAAATGTGGTTTTCCTGACGAAATATGGTGCCTCAAGAATAAGAAGCAAATAGAAAAAACCAGCAAATTGAACCCAATGAATATATACTTAGACGAAAACGAAGTTTTACGTGTCTCAGGAAGAGCTGAGATGTTAAATTGCAACAATGCAATAATTCTACCCAATGGTCATTACGTAACGTTTTTGGTGGTTCGATTTTACCATCAAACATTTCATCATTGTATGCATGAAGCAGTGATGTCAAATATTAAGTCCGAGTTTTACATTCCCAGATTGAGAGCACTTTACAAGAATGTACGAAGCAAGTGTCAAGAGTGCAAAAATTTAGCAGCGGCACCATGTCCACCTCAAATGGCAGCGTTACCGTCAGCCCGAGTGTCCAGTTTTGAACGTCCATTTACTTACGTCGGAATCGATTTCTTTGGCCCATTATATGTCACAGTCGGCAGGCACAAAGAAAAGAGATGGGGTGTTCTGTTTACATGTTTAACGGTTCGCGCTATTCACATCGAAGTGGCTCATAGTCTTGACACCAGCTCCTGTATAATGTGCATTCAAAATTTCATTAGTCGACGTGGCTCTCCCAAAGAAATATTTACCGATAACGGCACTAATTTTAAATCTGTTGAGAGAATGCTCCAAGAAGAAAGACGAAATTTGGAGTTCAAGAAGCTATGTTCCAAATATGATGTTATCAAATGGCGGTTCAACCCTCCAGCTGCCCCGCATATGGGCGGAGCATGGGAACGTTTGATACGTTCAGTTAAATCAGTTCTGTACTCAATGTGTCCAACCTTCAAATTTAACGACGAAACCCTACGATGTGCGCTCTATGAAGTCGAATTTATCATCAATTCTCGCCCGTTAACATTTGTGGCTCTAAATACAGTGGAAGACGACGCACTTACACCAAACCATTTATTATTAGGCTCAGCAGCAGGGGATAAACCTCTATGCGAATATGACTACGATCTGCGACAACGATGGCATCAAACCCAGCAATTTGCAAATAACTTCTGGAGAAGATGGGTACGCGAATATGGTCCAATGTTGGTACGAAGAAGCAAGTGGTTCGAAAAGGTTCCACCACCCAGCGTTGGAGATGTCGTAATTATAGTCGATGATACACTACCTCGCAACAAGTGGCCCAAAGGCATTGTAACCGAGATATTTGCAGCGAAAGACGGTCAAGTTCGCAGCGTAAAAGTCAGAACCAGTTCCAGCGAATACGAGAGACCAGTAGCCAAAATAGCAGTATTAGACGTCGGTATAAAGAAGGATGACAGTAAGCTCAAGAGGTCCTAGTTCGCTTACGAAGGGGGGAATGTTACCGCCGCCACTGTTTATTTACTCTTTTTTGTTATTTATTTACTTCAACAAATTTGAGTTATTCCTCTTTTATGTAGTCAATACACTTTTGCATTGATCTCTATTTATCTTCTCGTTGCCCTTTATTTATGTGGCCCTTTGCTATGTGTACACATACATGCACAAAGTTATTAGTATGTTGTTATTGTTTAATAACGGCAATGTCTAGTGGACGAAAACAAGTAGCTTCAAAGGGCAACGAAGATATAACAATAATTAGTTCGAATTTGAATACGCAGCGAGCAAATTGTTTTTAAAGCGCCATAAACTTTTGTTATTAATAAACATTTTATGTGAATAATTATTTTCAAAGTGTTTTACTTTAAAGTGGGCGACTATGAAAGTTGTTCTGCGTACCGAACTCAACATCTGTCTTATTGTGTGCCAGCAGCGAAGACGTTCTTTTGCGAGAGAATTCAGGCCAGATAGATTTTGCGATTCTACAACCAGGTTCTATCAACCATCTGTTGCCGAGTACCTCGCAGTAGAACAAGCGGATTTTGCCAATGAAATAGCCAATGGGAAGTTTCACAGATATCTCAATCGGAAGATTGGACGACTGTGAGACCCCTCGAGGCTATCGGCTATCTCATTCCCTTCAATGTCACTATGTCCTGGAACCCAACATAAGCTATCTGTCGTTTATTATTCAGATCATGATCCAATTAACAGGTCGTGTAAGAGGCGAATATTATCGGCCATTTTGGTAGAAAATCCCTCAAACTGTCAATTATTTTGTTTACGTTTTCACACAATTAAGGCAAATTTTAACAGTTCGGGTGAAATCATGTCGCCTCTAACACGACTTGTTAATTGAACCATGATTCAGATCGTACTTGCAATCATGAACTACGTTTGAGTTTATAGTACACGACTTTACCGCTTTAAGGGCCGCCTGACTATCGACACATATAGTCACCGGTGCCGTAATGTCGGCAGTAAGTGATTTTACTATCTCGGCCGCTTTCGTGATTGCAAGGATTTCTGCTTGAAAAACGCTACAAAGATTGTTAAGTTTATATGAGTTATATCTGCTGTCCAAAAGTTTGTAAGTGAACCATTTTTAAATGAAATGAAAATGATTTTTACCGCGTTCGTCTCGAATTATTTTGTTAACGAAGAAACTTTTCATGTTATTCCGTATTGTATTTCGGGAAGAAACCATAACATTTCATTAATTGTTCGTGTTTTTAGGTATGTGTTGAACTTGTTATGCTTTTTTATGCTTTTTTTATATTGGACAGAAGTAGTCAATACCTACATAGTTGTTAAGTGTTATTCACCTCCAATTGTCCTTCCTCGTATTACTGTACCGTGGTGTACAATTCCAATAAATCAAATAAACACACTTTTTCATTATGAACAAAAAACATGTTACCATATACGTATATATTTGTGTAATGTTAATATTTTATTCTCATAAATTTCTTTTACTTACAACTGCATAAAACTGCACTTTTGCTTCAAAATATTTTTTTTGTAACTATTTCCAAAAGTTAAAATTAAATTTCAAATTGCCACTGATGGTGGGTAGGTATGCCATCTACCCTTTTGATTTAGTATTTAACTTACAATGAAAAGAAACATAAAAACCCAAATGGATTAAAAAAGGTGTCATACTAAAACCTATCAAAAAACCATAAAAATGTTTTGTACATAATAGATATGTACACAATGATATTAATTTTGAAATACTTGTAATAGAAAGAAAAAAGAAACAAAAAGGTTGCGTAACTAAAAATGCCCTTGTTCGGTAATTTTTTTAATTTGTTCCAGACATTCACTGGATGTCCATTGCTCGGCAATTGTAGTGAATTCTTCGTCAAATGTTTCTTCAATGGCTCCCAGATAGCATTGTGTTACAGTGTTTTTCATTGATCGATATGACTGGGGAAAAAATATATGAAAAGTTAACCAAAAGTTCAACAAAATTTATTCTTCTCAACTAACCTCAGGAGGCATTGAAGCCATTTTTCTGGCAACATTTATAGCTTCCTCATTAACTTTAGTGCCAGTAGTTAGTTTGTTGACCAGACCCGCCAATGCAGCCTCGGTAGATTGTACTTTCTCACCTAACCAAAATAATTTGGTTTTCTAAAAATAGTAATAATAATTAATGTAATGCAATGCATTAAATTTTATAATGAATTCTTCTTACAAATGATCCACGTATTTTATTCAATTTATTCCATACACCATAACTTTCCGGTAATTGTCCCATTTTAGTATATGTCGTTTCGTATGTACACTTATCTCCAGCCACGACAATATCAAAAAATATCAATTGCATTAGGCCCAGATTCATAACGTGACCATTTACACCAGCTATCAATGGTTTTGGGTATGAGGCTAATGTTACCAAATATCTCCTGTGATGTGAGAAAATAATGTATACAACATTTATAATAAATAATTTTTGTAAAATATTCGCCGTAACTTACTTGACTGCTGAACATAAATTTTTCACCACATTTTTCCTTTTTTCAACTGCACCTAGAGCAAGTTCGGTCAAATCAATACCTTGGCAAAAATGTGCATCATTCGTTATAATAACGGTAACATGTGTGTCGGAATCATTTGCCATTTTCTCTAATATATCCGATAGTTTATTCAACATCTGAAATGAAACGTATATTTTATTAAGTTGCCAGTAATATAAAAAACACAATTCGACGCCTCCGAACCATAGTATGCTAAGTCTGAAAAGTGAGTTTTTCAGTAGAAGCTTTCAAAGTATAGAAGTTTCTTTAATCGTACGTGCCATGCTAAGTACATTTTTGCTTATAACTTTGGTTTGGTTTGGCCGATGATTACCAAAATTTCAGTGAATTTAAATTAAGGACCGTAGTATCTAAAAACGTGAAGAACTTTAAAACATGCTAAGTCGACTTAGCATACTATGGTTCGGAGGCGTCGAATTGTTGATAAATTTGAATTAACACTTGTTTATAATAATGTTAACTTTACTAATTTTATGTTAATGTTACTATTAATATTCAAAAAAGGAATACAAAATAAAACAAAAACTATACCAGAATTCAGTAAAGCTAAACATCATTAATACCCAACGTTATCAAATGCATTTTGATCTATATGTCTGATATTAATTTTAGTGTGGTCTAGGTCTAACTTCATTTTTACTTACTTGTGCTGTAAACGTATAACTCAATTTAGCCTTATTGGTGCTAAATATAATCTGAGCCATTTTAGATGATTTCTTTACCACAACATCTGAAGTATGTATCTTATCTTTGCCCACTGCTGATGCTGCTGCCGCCGTTGTCGTGGCAGCATTTTTGGCAGAATGTCCAACATCTTTGTTTTCTTCATCCAACGATGCAGTTGGACTACTACTGCTTGTCGCCTTACGTTTATTTGCGGCCGGCGCAGGTTTTTTCATATCGCTTGTCAGTGTTCCCGTTGCCGGACTTTTTGTACGTCTTTGTGTTTTCTTATTTTCTGGCTTGGCAAATTCAAAAGATTTCGGACTATTTTTGGAATTGGCGCCAGCGCGTTTGCCCTGCGTTACAACTTCGTCGGGGGTTTTTGAACTTGCATTTGGTGCAGGTGTTTCAGGCGTTGTCGTTGCTGATTTGTCTTCATGTGATTTTGTTGCATTGCTTGGCGTTGATGGGCCATCTAAACTCAAACGATTCAATGAAGCCGTACTTGAGTATGAACTATTCGAACGTCTACGTATTATCATGGAATCATCAATGTTTTGTTGTTTTTGTTTGTAAACATAATCCCAACCGGAAGAGGCACGTGGCTTGGGGGTACGTTTACCACCTTTAGGAGTTTGTTGACTTGTTGTAGGTGGAGGTGTTTTGACGGGCGAAATGGAATCTTTACGAGGTAACTAAAATCAAGAAACACGAAATATTTAAAACGAGTCCATTTTCTTTGCTGAATAACTTACCCTTTCACTTATGGTTGCAGCACGACTTCTCATCATGGGCCGTGTTGATTTCGTCTCAGCCGTTCCTAATTGTTCCAAAGAGTTGAGCATATTTACAGCTCCTTCATCGCCCATTAAACGATCGATTTCTGACACCTTTTTCTTCTTTGTTACTGTAACGGGACCGTTTGCAACTGGAGTCAGGGACCGTCTTTTATTGCCGGGCGATATATTTGACGCAGTAGGGCTAGTTGTTTTCGTTACAGAATCCACTGATGTGTTTAACTCTGATACCTCTTCTTTTTTGTTGTTTTGTTTTAGACTTGGATGCGGTTTATTGCCAAAATTACCATTCTCAGTATCTGATTTATTTTCCTTCGGTGTTACAGGCCTCTGAGTTTTTCTTGCTACATTTGTCGTCACCTCTTTCTTAACTGGCCTTATTGTTGTCGATCCCTTTGTTATGGTACTAGACGGTACGGTTGGTGATTCGGGTTTTGCCTTATTTTTATTACTACTAGTGACTAACTTGGCATAAGAAAATGTTGTTTCGGGTGCATCGGGATCCCAGATTATTTTGCGTTTTATAATGCGAGTACGACGAAAACCTAATATGGAAAAATGTACAAATTTAGTCGAATTATGTTTTTCGTTAATATTACAAATTATGGAACAATTTACATTTATTAACATATCCGCATGTCAAAGCATGGCGTAGAAATATACAGAAATAAAGATCAATAATATTAAATCACATTCGTTAAATTTTAATAAATGAAATATATGAAAGCGCTTGGATTTTGTAATCATTGTACGGATTATATTCTAATGTTCATTGTATATTCTAATATTTGCTGTAGATAAAAATCATCTGTCTCTTGTTATTGGATATGTACCTCAGGCTAATAAGGTAATGTGCCTCTTCAAACTTTGAGTGTTATACCCCTGATTTCTTCGGACAATTTGGAGTCTGTATGGTGTTTACGATAACTTTCGAAGAATGTAGCCGATTTGCCTATAGATATTTCGAACCTGCTTAAGCCAAATTTGATGATTGTTTACAAACTTTTGCGAAAGTAGTATTCGATTTGGTTTAAACCTCCCACAACATAATATTTTTAACAAACAATAATATGTCCGAAGATGGTCCCCCGTTTATATATTTAATTAGAACACACCTAACATTGTTAGGATATCTGTTGCTTATGTGTTTAAGTAATTGAGGACAATAATGATAGAGGGTATAAAATTAAGTTCACCATATAAGTTTCCGAAACGCTAACTGACTCTTGAGAAAGATTCCAAGGCATTTCATACAAAATTTGTATAAGCACAATAAATGATAAATAAAATTCTAAAACATACCTGTATGTGAACTTAAGACCTGTGATTCTTCATCGGTTTTTGTCACAATGACACCTTCGATTGGTGATGATGTCTCTTTTGTGTCATTCTCTTTGGATGTTGCAGGTTTTTTATCCGAATTTGTCGCATTGGATAAAATTGAATCTGGACTGTTTCGATTGTCAACAGACGGCGGTATAACAACAACACTGGTTATTTGTGGTACATTCGATTTGGACTCAATTATTTGTACGGGAACAGGCGTTTCCTTTTTATTTGCATTTGGCGGTGTAATATTTTCTCTACTACCGTCGTCGTCATTGTCTGTCCAATCGGCTTCCAGCGATGAAACTAAATCCATAACAGGATCAACTTGTTGCATTGGCTTGATGTCTTGTTTACGACGACGTTGTTTGTGGCGACCTTTATCTATGTTGGCAATTTGTTCCAATGCCAGAGCTCGTTCCTCTTCGGTTGTAAGAACGGCTGCACCATATGTTTTTGATGTATTTCCGGCCTTAGTGGGTGAAATTGTTGCAGGGAGTTCAATCTCTGCGGTATCATCGTCAACCACTTCCATAATCTGATATTCACCCTCCCCCTCAATTGTGACACCTTCTATTAGTTCGGTATCGGTAGTGTGTCCATCGTCCAGACCTTTCAATACAGCTATTAAATCTTCATGTTCTAACGCTGTTTCCCCCAATGTAATTGTGTCCACTTTAACTTCATAATTATTTTCATTCGTCTCTTTTTCGTCGGCATTCAGGCTGTTGCTTGCAACAATAATCGTATCGCCATTGTTCTCCGCATTATCACCGCATGGGGAATTTGATGTGGGCACCACATTCACATGTAGATTCTCTGTAGCTTCATCTACGTTATGCATTTTAGCTATTTCACGTTCCAGTGAAAACAAGTCATCAGTGTGTTCATCCTCAGTGAATTTGTTTTGTGGTTTTACTAGTATTTCGTTTCCGATTATACGTGGCGTGTCGCCACCACCTTCTTTATATTGGTTTGCAGTCTTTTTCTGTACTTGATCACTAGACGTGACTTTAGTCACAGCGTCAACGCCGGTCTTTCCCACCACATTGGACGACATGTTCAACTTCGAGGTTATGATATTATTTTCAATTAAAGATGTCAACAAGTAGCCCTTCAGCTACATTCACAAAATTCCAACCAATAATCAAAATAATTCAAACAAATGATGTTCTTACTAGCAGCAGGTAGGCGCCATTTTTGTCTGCGTAGTATGCATCGAAAGTGCAGTCAAAATATTTTCCAAGCTTCTTATCACCACTTGTCAATACAGTTGTCAAATTCTTAAAAACTGTTGATGGTTTTCAGCCAGATACAATGTATAACTGATCTTTAATATGTGTATATTGTTCTACAAATATTTTAATGACACTATAGGAATTCTTAAAAGCAAATAATTATTTATTCTGAGTTAAAAATCGACGCTGTCCCAATGTTGTCCACAAAATTTTTTCTAATTCAAAGGAACTACTCAGTGAAACGAACGATCGGAACGATTTCCAGCTCATGTAGAAATCGCCATTTTATGACATCGATATTTTTATCGATTTTAAAAGTATATTTTTAAAGTGGGGTACACACTATTAGTTTTTAATCAGAGTTGTAACCTAATAATTTCGCTTGTTTGGCTATTCATGTCAAGGCACGCGTATTGGGTAACACTACTGGTTTGAAACAGACCAAATGTTATAGTAGTAAAAATAGTGGATTCCTGCAATACGGGAACAGACCAATTATGTTTTTAAGAAAAATCCAGAAGGAAAATTGGGTACTCATAAAATTTAAAGCAGTAAATTTTTCTTTATAGACTAATTCGCAATTTCCAGCATTTTCAGATTTGTTACACATAACTGCTAATGGCTCAATTAGAGGAAATATGGAAATCATACCAGAAACGTTTTCTCGTAAACAGAGGCGTTGATCTCTGTTCGTTCTGTTGTGACTGATAGATTTTTTGATAAAATATATTCTGTACTACTCGAACAATCGATTTGATATAATAAATGCCAATATCAATCGATATTTCCTCACATACTGCAAAAATATTCCGGCCTTCTTCAATAAAGGCTATCGAAATTGAATCGTTCCTTAAGGTTAATTCCCATTTTTTCAGTTTTTATTTCAAATATTTATTTATTTTGAGAATTGTTTATTGTTTTCTACTAATTCTAGCAATTTCTTGTGCATTCGGACCTTTATTTTCTATAATAAGGGTTATTTTCTGAATGTAAGGTGTACTGTACAAATTTTTGGCAATTTTGATAGATTTTACAGATTTTTTCAAAAATTTTTATCAGTAAATGATTTTATCGGTGCTTACTTTACATAATTTAACTAAATTAAAGAGCTTTTTTAAAAACATTTTCAAAAAATGCAGTAAAGTAAAAAATCACACAATGTTTTAATTATATGGTCACTTCAAAGTCGAAGTATTTTCATAAAAACCGTTATTTATGGAAAAATTGCATGCAATAATTTTCCATTTTCACACTAAATCTCTTAAGTGCAGTATATCGAAGTGTTCTGAATAAAAAAAATTTCGAAAATACTTCAAACGAATCGAGGGCTGATCAAAAAATGTTTACCACAGTAAATGTTTTAATTCTGTGACCACCACTGTATGTCAAATAAATCCTCATAAAGTAGGTTAACCCGGTAAAAAGTTCTAATGTACAAGGAGTTTAATTGTGCCATAATAGAAATATACGTTTAATAGGTTTGCATTCGCGCTTCTTAATTTTATTTTTATGTTTCAAAATTATTAAATTTTTAAATTAAATAAAATTTTTTGATAATTTGTAATTCTTATAACAACAAATTTCCATGTGGTTGTTGTATCGATTGTTGTACAAAAACACTTGTTGTTACCTTATATTAAGTGCGTTCGTTTACTTTCCCAGTGATATTTACTTAGTCAGTAGTCACACGGGCAAATTTTGTGGTAAAGTAAATTGAGTTTATGGGCGAAAGAGGTGAGAGGAATAAAAGGGGGTACATACATACTTGTACTCCGCAATTCTCTTTTGTTTCGTTATTCGTTGTAAACAACTGAAGTTGGCTGCAGAAAAGTTTTGCATTTTCTTTCATTTTATTTTTTCTGTTGACAAACAAACATCAAGGCAGTTATTAAAATTAAAACCTTTTGCGAGAAAAAAACTACATAACAGGTCTTCATTCTACGGCTATAGCTTCTTCGAGTAATTCAAAACTTCCTTTTATAATAAAGTTTTTTTCTTTTAATTCCATTTTTTAATTTTCATGAACAATGTTCAAACGAGAAAATGAGTGTGTGGAAGAATAAGAAAATTCATAAATTTAATGCAAGGGTTATTTGCGTGTCTAAACAACAATGCAATTTTTAAAGAAATTGAGAAGAAAATTTGTCATGAAATTTTGCACGTGTGACTACTGACTTAGTACGAATTTGCTGGGAATAAAATACGAATTTATCGTTCTCAAGAGAGAAAATTTCAAAAACTTAACGAACAACATCCAGTATTTTTTAATTTAAGCAAATAATAAACAAAATGAAAAATAACTAAAGTAAGTTAATCAATAAGTGCAATATTCAGAACAAGCCAAGAAATTATAAATTTTATCTTGTTAATAGATCAATAAAAAACCGCTCTTGAAATTGTTGGAAACAAGCCAACGAAAGATCGAGCAAAATATGAAATAGAAAACCAGTTTTTATTTTCATAAAAAATACCTGACCAAAAAAGCCCAACAAAAGCATTAATAATAAATAAAGTTACAAAAATTTGTCAATAACAATAAAAAAGCATTTTTATTAGAAAAATGGATAATAAGCGGAAAATTGATGTTGTTTATAAATACTTGCATGTTCTTAATCCATTTTAAAGTTTTATGATACAAAATTGTTTACAAATCTGCAGATTAAATATTAGCTGGTGGTACAAGAAAATTCTTCCTGAGTAAAATTTTCCTTGTAAGAATTTGCATATACTCAGTAACACAACTGTCAAATCTGCTCTCTCAATTCACTCTCTTTTATTGGACTTTTGGGTAAATGAACAACATTTTGTAATAATTTTTACAGATATTGAGTAAAACTCCTTGTACATTAGAACTTTTTACCGGGTTAACCTACTTTATGAGGATTTATTTGACATATATGCAAAGGAAATGACAATTGAAACCCACTGGGTTAACGAAATCCGGTTAAATGTAAACTTACTATAAACGAACGAACCTATTATACCATGTTATCGACCATACGGGGTCAAATAACTTTATAAGTTGTTCCCGATTGTTGGAAATTAAATGGTTTGTTATTTATAGCAGAATTTTGGGCGCATTTATTTCTACATAAATACGTCACGGCATAACTATTTTGCTATATATTACTGTGAAATCTGATCTTATAGGCTTCATGCAACTTTGCAAAATCACGAATGAGGCTGGCTATTGGCGTTAACAAGAACATATTCTATGCCTTTCCACAACCTGCAAGTTTGTAAAAATTTTTACTACGATAACAATTTTCATTTATAATTGGTGTGTTCCCGTACTGCAAGAATATCCTATTTTTTACAATTTATTTCGATATCATAAAGGAAAAATGGTTATCGTAGTAAAAAATGGTAGATTCTAGCAGTAGGGGAACAGGCCATATAACGAAAAATATATGGCCGGTTCCCCAACTCAAAGAATCTACTAATTTTTACTATTTTAAAAGTTATCGTAGTGAAAAATAGTACGTTCTTGCAGGTTCTGGAACAGAAAAAATTTAATTTTGGGTTGGTTTATAATATCCGTATTGTGGGAATAATTTTTGGAGTCTTCAATGATGATTTTATAAATTATATATATATATATAACTGGATTCCAAATAACGTGCATATATTTAAATGACGTTGAGTGTTTGTATAAAAATGTATATATGTTAAACATATTAATTAGCCAAACATTGATGCCGATTCCCTCTCACAGTTGTATTAACAAAAATGTCAATTTGAAAAAATATATTTCTTATATAAAAGTAAGTCTATTCATTCTCTAAGCCCTCAATTCGTTTCGAACCAACGAACAAATGATGTGTGTTATTTTCATTTTATTAGTAATTTCAAAAATATCGACCGGTTTTCAAATAAACCATATAGGTGCGTGGATTTCGTATTATTTATTTATTTCATACTGTTCGTAAGCAAATTTTCAAATATGATACCTTAAATGCAAACATTCGGCCCAGAAAAAATTTAAATTGTATGTGAATTGTAAAACATCCGACGCGAATTACTTGTTCCCATCGATGAGTGTTATATGAAAAGTGAATTATTTGTTACACAAAATAAATTGAAAAAAAAAATTAAATCAAATTAATTGTGCCTAAAGAAAAATAATAAATGAAAGTTACAATTGTTTGGTGTGCAGAAAAAAGCAAATATTGTTTTAAAAGGTGTTATCCACTGTTTGGAAGTTCAGTAATTAATCTTAAAGAGAATAGAGTTAGAATATTTGACATTTTTGCTTTAAATTAAATAAGCGGCCGAACTCAAAACCACCCAATGATAAACATATTAAATAAATACAATTGTGTATGGCAAAACTGTAACACAGTGAATATTAGTTCGATTATATTAAAGATATTTCAAATGAAACAATAATATATTCATATATTCAAACGAAAATAATAATAATGAATAACTAAATCTGATTCGTGTTTTTGGTTCACTCGATGACACAAAAAAATTGTACAATCATCCAGCTGTACCAAGGCTATAAATACGCCTTTTCCAATAAGATAACGGACATTTGGTTAAAAAAATGATTAGTTTTGATAATTTCTCCAATTTTTAATTCATTGAAGTCTTCAACCTTTGCCTTTACCGGTTAACGGTATTAATAAAACTTGACACGAATATTACCTTGTAGCAAAACTTGAAGTGAATAACTAAAATGCAACTATGTAGGAAGGGGCTTTTTCTGTCAAATATAAAATACATATACTTGGTTTGTTTCAGTACTTTCTTAATAGTAAAGCTAGTAAAAGGGAAGCATTTCAAAATCGAGTAAAAAATAATTTGAGAAGTTCGGGAACGTAAATCTAGTAAATATGCCAAAATTAGATGGCAATACTTCAAAATTAACATAACTGTTTAACTATTTTGTTTAATATTTCTTAAAAATATGCCAATCGACATACATAAAATTTTATGGAATTTATTTTTCATTCTATTTGAAATTGATATATGAATTCCATTTTAAAAAGGGTTGCCATTATCAATATCTCAAAATAGACAATGTACTTTACATAATTATGCTATGCAACATGCCATAGGCAATCCGTAATAATTCCTGGCACTGAAATTTAAAATAAAATAATTTTAAAAATGCATAAATTGAATGGTGTTATGATTTCTTCCCATAATCTTTTTTCGTTATAAATATTATCTTTTGACATATCTCTCTTTTTTAAGTTTTTCATTTCAAATTAAGATCGTTAGTTTACTTTCCCAGGAACATTTACTCAGTAAGAATGTGCAAAGAATAAATACGAACTTCAAGAGAGAAAATTACAAAAATTAAACGAACAACATCCAGTAAAAAGATTGTATCGAAACAGCTGATTAAAACAACAAACAATTTGGCGCACTGAAAACAGCAGCATTTTTATTAGACAAAATTTATATTTTTATAAAAACTTGCGTTTTCTTGATCTATTTTAATGATTAATGTCACAAAATCAAAATAAAATTCACAAAACAATAAAGTTTCTTGAGAAAAAATGTCTTGTTTTTTACAAAACATAACAAAACAGCTGATTAAATATCAACTGATGTTACAAGCAAATTATTACTGAGTATATTTTCCTTGTATGAATTTGCAATTACTCAATAACACAAATGTCAAATCTGCACTCTCAATTCACTCTCGTTTACAGGACGAGCAACATTTTGTAATAATTTGTACAAATTATTGAGTAAACGAACGAAACTAATTACACCATGCTATAGGCAATCCCTAATAATTCCTGGTACTGAAATTTTAAATAATTCAAAAACAGATAAAATTAGTGTTTTCATGATTTCTTTTTCGTTAAAAATATTATTTTTTATCATATGAATTTGCAATTACTCAATAACACAAATGTCAAATCTGCACTCTCAATTCACTCTTGTTTACAGGACGAGCAACATTTTGTAATAATTTGTACCAATTATTGCGTAAACGAACGAAACTAATTACACCATGCCATAGGCAATCCCTAATAATTCCTGGTATTGAAATTTTAAATAATTCAAAAACAGATAAAATTAGTGTTTTCATGATTTCTTTTTCGTTAAAAATTATTATTTTTTATCATATATCTCTTTTTTAAGTTTTTCATTTCAAATCCTTATAGAACAATATTATTGGGAATATATTCCAAAAGCTGTTTAATATACAACAACAATTGCATTTTTATTTATTCATTTCTTTATAGATGACTCAGCAAAAATATCCGATCCTGATGTTCTGAAAAATGTGAATTTTTGGTTATCTGATTCCCAACAATCACTGCGTAACAAATTATATCTGTCGGAAAATAAAAACATTGCAAAAAATGTCATATTCTTCATTGGTGATGGAATGTCAGTCTCAACAGTGACTGCTAGCCGCATTTACGGAGGCCAAATGAAGGGTATTGTGGGAGAACGAAATTCATTATTTATGGAACGGTTTCCCTATGTTGGACTATCTAAGGTAATAATATATACAGTGTTGATCAAAACATATGCAACTCTGACGAATTTAAAAAATACTGTTATTATGGACAGTTGATTACAACGACAAACAATTTGGCGCTAACAAACGGGAAATTTATGTTGTTTATAAATACTTGCGTTTTCTTCACCAATTTAAATGTTTAATGATACGAAATTAAAACAAAAAACAAAACAATCAATTTTGTTGTTTGTTTACAAAACATAGCAGCAAAACCACTGATTAAATATCAGCTGATGGTGCAAGAAAAATCTTACTGAGTTAATTTCCCTTGTAAGAATTTGCAAATAGTCAGTAACACAACTGTCAAATCTGCTCTCTCTCAATTCACTCTCTTTTACTGTACTTTTGGCATAGACTAATGAAGATATAGACGACGAAATACTCAAAAAATGCGCGGTCAAGTGACTCAAAACTCAAAAATTTTTAAAGACGTTTTTTTTTGGGGAAAATGGACTATTTTTCTTTAATGTTTTTATCTGTGGATATAGTTTTTGCTTAAAACTAACTATATTTAATGGCATTCCAAATCAAAAGGTTCAAACATTTAAATAAATCACGATTTAAAATTGAGTAGCGTATTCAGCAGACTCAATTCAGAGAGGACTGGTGAGAGCATTTCGTCGTCTATACATTCATTAGTCTATGCTTTTGGGCAAACGATCAACATTTTGTATCTGTACATTCGAAGAAAACATAAAAAATGAATGCATTTATTAGCATAGACTAATGAAGATATAGACGACGAAATACTCAAAAAATGCGCGGTCAAGTGACTCAAAACAAAAAACTCAAAAAATTTTTTCAGACGTTTTTTGTGGAAAATTGCCTATTTTTGTTTAATGTTTTTATCTGAGGATATAGTTTTTTATAAAAACTAACTATATTTAGTGACATTCCAAATTAAAAGGTTCAAACATTTAAGTAAATCGGCATTTAAAATTGAGTAGCGCATTCAGCTGACTCAATTCAGAGAGGACTGGTGAGAGCATTTCGTCGTCTATATCTTCATTAGTCTATGTTATTAGTAGAGAAATATTGCATTGGTGATCAAGGGGCAAGGCAGGGAAGACTAAAAAGACTAAGTATCCTTAGTTTTTTATTTGTTCTCTCCAGAGGCTATTTTAATAATTATTGCAATTGGGCCTGAATGTTTTGAAAAACTAATAATTATAAATAATTAAAATAAAAAAAAAAAATAAATAAAATGAAAATTAAAATATTTTAATTTATATATAGACATATTGTGCAGACCGACAAGTATCAGATTCGGCTTGTACAGCAACTGCTTATCATACGGGTATTAAGGCAAATTTCGCAACGATTGGAGTATCAGCCCATGTAAAAACAGCCAAATGTGAGGCAGCATTAAAACCCGAACATCAATTAGAATCCATATCCAGCTGGGCTCAAAAGGCAGGAAAGGCTACAGGAATTGTCACAACAACTCGGATTACACATGCTACTCCAGCTGGTGCATATGCGCATACCTCCCTCCGCGACTATGAAAGTGATTTCGATGTCATTGCCCGGAAGGCTGATCCCAAACAATGTATTGATGTTGCACGACAATTGGTGGAAAATAAAGTTTCGAAAAATTTCAACGTTATTATGGGCGGTGGAGCAACTAAATTATTGCCAAATGGTACAATGCATGACAGTGGTTTTATGGGAGAGCGTTTAGATGGAAGAAATATTATAGACGAATGGATACAATCTAAAGATGATGGAACATCATTTGTTCATAACAGACAACAATTATTGGAACTTGACACTGAGGTTACAAATAACTTAATTGGTATTTTTGCCAATAGCCACATGTCTTACAATCTAGATAATGACGGCTCACAGCCTACATTAAAGGAAATGACCGCAGCTGCTATATCGATATTAAAAAAGGAACCAAATGGTTTCTTTTTATTCGTGGAAGGTGGTCGCATTGATCATGCCCATCATGAAACGAAAGCCAAAAAGGCTTTGGATGAGACAGTACAATTTGATGAGGCCATACGGCAGGCATATGAGTTAACCGATCCCAGTGAAACGTTGATTGTCATTAGTGCGGATCATGGACATACAATGACTATAAATGGTTATCCGAAATTGGGAAATGCCATTACCGGTATAAGTACCGAAATGACAAACATTGATTTTTTGCCATATACAACATTGTCGTATGCTAACGGACCAGCATTTTCAAGATTTTTGTATTCCTCTCATATGTCCAATATGGAGAAACACAATGAAGACTTATTTTCGGATACACATGAAGACGTTGTTAAACGCTATGATGTGAGAAAAATTACAAATATAGGTTAGTTTTGGGAAACATTCATTTTTTAATTGCTTGGAAATAATTTTTTTTTAATTTTAGGTGAAAAAGATTTTCAATACCCTGCTGCTGCGCCAATGATTGAGGAAACACATGGCGGGGGCGATGTTGCAATCTACGCTAATGGTAAATCTACAAATTTTGATTACGAATACAGCTCTGTAGTGCTATTCTGTCACTTTTTAACGATAGAATTACTGATGATGGTCGATAACCAATTTGCTTAAGTCCTCTGGTTTTGCTCTTGACGCATAGCTCGTAGATCGCGATTTAAGGATACAACAAGTGTATTTTATTAGATAAATGAAATTAGTGACATTAAGATATTATGCAACAGGACGCTATCAAGGACCCGTGGGAGAGCAATGAGGGATTTCAATGAGTCAGCCCAACTATAAGTCGATATGTTCATTATGTCACGAATGCTATTAATGATACAGTATTTTGTTCGACCATTATATTCCTTACACCATAAGAAGCGGCTCTCTGAAAAAAATATTTTCTAGGTCATCTGCGCCATTTGTAAGAGGTACAAAAGGTTCCATCAATTGCATCTTTGCCTCCAGAAATGTGTGTTTTTTAATTTTTGTTATTTAAAACGTTGACTTTTTCCAGGCATAGCATTTCCAACTACAGTAGATATCGGGTATAAGCACATCTCATATAAGAAAAAATCGCATATAAGAAAGATTATCAAAAACACCGAGCCTTTTTACATCTCATCAGTGTAAAAATAGCTTCTTATAAGAAAAACGCGTATAAGAAAAACACTGATATAAGAAATGTTTGTCAAACACCAATACTGACAAAGGTATCAGAAAACGTTTCATATAAGAAAATATGTAAGATTGTTGGCCAATTTATTAACATTGAAAATGTTATAAAAAAATAAAATAAAATACGTTTTAATTGTATTTGAAAGAATATTATCTATATGAATAGAAACATATGCACCTATTTTTAGTCAAACTGTGAACTGATTTTAATTTAGTAATTTTGTACTTTTATATGCGTATGTACGCATATAAGAAACAACTTTCTTATATCCGACATTTCCATATAAGAAAAAAAACGCATATAAGAAAGAAATCACCGGTTTTTTCTGAGTTTCTTATATCCGATATCTACTGTGCTGCTTAACAATGGTTGTTTATAAATGTTACTGAATAACAAAATCCTGATTACAAACAACAAAACCTATCGATAAAATAAACAATAATAACTATCGTTAAAAGTTACAGAATAGCCCTACTGCTTGCCTGGTTTACGTGAACAAATGTAACTAGTAACTAGTAGACAATTTTTGTTTTCATTAGCTTCAATTTTACTTTAAATTCTTTTATAATATCAACTAATTTAATATCTAAAATGTACTCTTCTTTTTCAGGTCCTTGGTCTCATTTATTTACAGGAGTTTTGGAGCAAAATACTTTACCTATATTTATGGCATTTGCTGCTTGTATAGGTCCAGATGAATTAAATTCATGCAATTACAATACTGATAATTCTGGCAACAAATTAGATCACAATTTGTTACTGAAATCAGTATCATAATAAGGAAATTATCTAAAATATACGAAATTGTTAAATAAATGTATTACAACATTTGTAAAAGCTTGTACAAATAGGCTTGTACAATAACTTTTCTAGTAAAAATTACTCATTAACCTATGTTGAGTAAGTTTACTCTCACTCATGTAGAGATATTGACAATTTATAGAACAACATTCAATACATGGCCTATATAAGGTCGGCCTGTAAGCGAATTCATACAGAAAATTGTTGTTTCAAGCGTCAACTTTTTTGCCGAGGCGAAAAAAAACTTATAATTTGTAAGATAATTTACTTGAAAACGTTCTTTAACATTGCCCAAATATCAGGCCATCCAGAGGACTAACAAAAACGTCGATGCTTCTATTCTACTTAATCGTATACGACATACATTTATATTTTCTGAAAGTATACTATTTTTGCGATCCTCCCGACAGACCAAAGCAGATAGCACCATAATAGGTTTTTTAGACTTTTTTGTTTCTTTCAATAATTGTATGCTTAATTTGTAATATAATATATTTTGGACAACGCATCATTCATTATACAGAGGTGTCATAGTTCCAGATAAGTATTTAATAACCGGTTCCTATCTTTATCCGTTCTTCGGTACATTTAGTATTTGTATTCCATTCGTATTCTGTTTGTTTATAACATACAAAACTACATACCGAATTTCAGAATTTTACTTTTTCCTTTTTTTACCATTCACTGCGGTATAATTTAGTATAATTTTCCAAAAAATATTTATCCATATCGATCTATTTGTAATAGTTAAGCTACTTACTACATTTCAGATTGTAATCTCTAACCTTTCCATAATAATTTAATATTTTGTACCATTTTAGTACTAATTTCAAAAATATATTACTGTATAGCATAGTATTTGGAATAGTTAATATTCAAATTCAAAAGAATTATGCATAGCGTTATATATCCAATATAGTTAGCTACATATTAAATTTCTGATTTACAGTTACATTTTATTTTTTATTTGGCACTTTTTATCACCACTTTAGTACTTTTTTCCAAAAGAAATGTTATGCATAGTATTTTATTTGTAATAGTTAATGCTATATGCGAAGTTTCACTTTTAGACATTTTAATATATTTTAGTACTAATTTCAAAAAAATATGTTTGCCTACCATTCTATTTGTAATAGCTTAAGTTACATATCAAATTTCAGATATATATCCCTACCTGTTCATCTTAGTATAATATTTAGTACTTTTTAGTACCTTTACTACTTATTTCCAAAATGTATTCGCACATTCTGATTTGTTTATCAATGACAAATCTGCATATCAAATTTCAGATTTGTAGTTCCAACCGTCCCAGGGTAATACAGTTTTTACAATTTTAGTACTAATTTCCAAAAATTGTTTTGCACATCATTCTATTTGTAATAGCTTAAGCTATATACCATATTTTAGAAGTCTATCCCCATCGATTCCCTTCAAATATAATATTTAGTACATTTTAGTATATTTCCACTTCCAACCGTTCTGATGTTATACAGTTTTAGTACTTTTTAGTACCATTTTAGTACTTATTTCGAAAAATATATTTTTGCAAATCGTTCTATTTGGATTAGTTTAAGCTACATACCAAGTTTCAGATATGTAAAGCTACCTATTCCATTCAAATATTATGTTTAGTACTTTTTAGTACCTCTCAGTACTAAACCGTCATAGACAAATCTACATACCAAATTTCAGAGTTCTACATCTAACCGTTCCCGCGTAATACAGTTTTTAGTACTTTTTAGTACCTTTTAGTACGAATTTCCAAAAACCCCGCCTTATCACACGCCTACTTACCAAACCTGACCTACATGCCAAATTTCAAGTTTCTAGCTTTAGCCGTTTCGTCTGGTCGTTGATGATCAGTCAGTCACTTATAACGCAACTCTTTTATAGTCCTGATTTAGATTAGGCGAGTTTACATGCGGCAATTATTATCGTTCTCTTTTAAACTTGCTTCATGCGTCTATACAAGGGAATTCGATTTCAAAAATAGTTATTATTTGACAATATTCTTGATTGGTATTTCAAATTACTGACACTACTACTGCCCCTCTCTCCAGCAAACAAAGCCATGCCGCTTCCCAGCCATAACAAAAAAAATACTCAGCTAAACAGAAATAGAAATTTAACGCCAACGTCAAAAGAATATAACTCCACTTATTTTTTAGTAACAATCAAGGTGTATTTAATAAGGTGTATGCATCAGATACAACAACAAATATTTTACAAAAACAACATTGTTGTTATAGAAATTAAATAGTCATGTTGACAATAAGTTTTTGACAAAAATAAACAAAAACAATTATTAATTTATTTTTGTCAAGAACTATTATATGAGGAATAATTAATGAATTTGTGTATTCTTGGGTTATTGGCGGTTTTAGGTCAGTGAAAAATAAAGTTTAAGACCTGGTCGCGATTAATTTTAAGTTTCTCACATGCAGCCCATGGCTCCTTATGATGTGATGAATTATAATCTATTTTTCTATGGAGTAGTGTCTTTTAATTTTCTTGCCTTCTTAAAGAAAATTGAAAGACATAAATCCCCGGCCAAAGGCTAAATCATGGAAATTGTGTTGATCGTATAAAATGTTGTTGCTGAAATGAGGGCTGATATAAAGAAATGTGGTGACAATGTTCGTCGTATTGAAACAACTACTTCTGCTCGATTTGTAGCTCTGGAAAAAGAAGATAATGTGATGCACAAAAGGATGAATCGTTCTGACATTCTTATAGGAGGGTTGCCAGACGGACTGAATGATCTGGAAGCTCCTGTGATTGCTTTGGGCTCTGTTTACAACGTTCCACTCACCAGCATGGATATAAACCACGTATGTTATATCAACCGCAAAAAGCAAATTTTGGTGAAGTTCAATAAGGTGTCAAAACGTGATCTGCTAATGAAAGAGTACTTCAAAACTCGTAATCTTAAAGTTTCTGATTTGCTGGGTGACTTAGGAATTGGGTTAACTAGTCGTGTCTATCTGAACGATCATTTCTCTCCTGCGGCAGCGCATCTGAACTTCGTATGCAAGAAACTTCGTCGTTTGAAGGTGATAAACAGATTCAAAATTTTGAATTCCGACGTATTGAAGGCATGGCTTAAGTTTGATGACGGCAGAGAAGTCACTTATAACTCAAGTCAGTGTGATGAATTGCTGTGTGATGCTGAAGGCGTAAATATTTGATCTTTTTTATTTTTTTTTTTGTGATTTCTTATAAATATTATAATTGCTTTTTATTTTTTGTAACTGAAATTTTTAATTACTGATCTCATTTGAAAATTCGATCAGCTGCCTTATATATGTGATATTTTGTAATGAATTTTGAAATAATAAGGAAAAGGTTTTTAACATTTTATATATATTTGGTTCCCCGCTATATCAATTATTTTTCGTTTAATGTCTCTTAGTGCAAATTGTGGACCAGCGATTAGCAACAACGTGTACATAAATTCGATACTTGGCTCATGTCATGATAATTTTAACATTGCGCATTTGAACTGCCGAAGTTTAAGGCCATCTAACAGCTCAATTAAATTTTCTGAGTTGAGATCGATTTTATTTGGTTCTTCCTTACATGTTCTTGCACTCTCTGAGACGTGGTTTAAGTCTGATATCTCTAATAGAATGGTTGATATTCCTGGATATAGACTAGTAAGGAATGATCGCATTAATGCTCGAGGTGGAGGTGTTGCTATATATTTTTTGAGTGGTGTGAAGTTTAAAATTGTATTCAAATCATCTGTCTTAGGCAAATGTGAGTCCATTTTTGTTGAGCTCTTAGCTGGTGATTCTAAGGTTTTGTTTGGTGTTGTATATCTGCCCCCACCTGGTGATTTCACTTTTTTCGAGGATCATCATGCTGATCTTTTTGAAAGATATTCCAACATAGTGGTAGTTGGTGATTTTAATTGTAATTTGTTTGATCCACACAGAGCTGCATGTGTTCGTAGTGCTTGTTTTCGTTTAAATCTGTCTATCATACACAATTCTAGGCCTACTCACTTTGATGTGTCTCATGGTTCAACATCTTTGATTGATTTTGTCTTAGTTAGTGATAGCTCTATGGTTTTCCTATCTGATCAAGCTATATGTCCCTCTGTTTCTGATCATTCTCTCATATTTGCATCGCTTAAATTTGCTGTTGAAAACGTGTTTGAATTTATTGAATATCGGGACTACTTGAATATTGATTGGAATGGGTTATGTTCGTATTTGTCTACCTTTGATCTTGATTTTCGCAATATTGTTGACATTGATGTCAAGTGTTCTGTATTAACAACCCTTGTTATGGAGTTATTCGGATTTGTTCCTTTAGTTCGAAAAAGAATTCATTATGGTGAAAATTGGATTAAGTCCAATTCCATTAAACTTGCTTGTTCCCTACGTGATATTGCTTTTTGTTCATATCAGTCCGATAAGTGCTATGAAAAGTGGAAAGTCTTTTGTAAGTACCGTAATAAAGCGAAGTCTGTTATACGACGTGAACGTAGGAGGTTTTACTCCAAAAAATTCAATGCTATGGGATCAACAGCTCTTTGGCGATTTCTTAGAGTATCAGGATGTTTAGGTAGAGATGATCTTACCTTGCATATTGATGTTAATGCAGTTAATTCGTCCTTTGTTACAAATGAATCTGAAGTTGATAATTCTGATTTTCCTGAATTTGATGGCATTGACTCTGGTTTTTCTTTTAGTTGTGTAGATGTTGATGATATTATTATGGCTCTGGGTAAAATTAAATCTAAAGCAGTTGGTGTAGACGGAATACCTTTGGAATTCTTAAAACTTGTTTTTCCTTACATTTCTAGTTATTTTTTGGACTTAATTAACTGCATTCTAACATCTTCTATGTTTCCTGTGTTGTGGAAGAAAGCTCGTGTTGTCCCTATACCAAAAGGCAATGTTGTACATAGCTATGATGATCTTAGACCGATATCAATTCTCCCTGTGTTGTCTAAAGTGTGTGAGCAC